GTAAGTCGGCCCGATCAAACTACGAGGCCGCAGTTTTTTACATCACGACCGGTAGTTCGACCGCGCCCGAACTGGGACTAAGGCTAAGCGCCGCTATCGCCAAATAACGGCTAAGACTCGCCCACACCGAATTGAAAAAGCAAGGCCATCGCCGCCAACGGTCGACCTAGATTCGACTGCGGTGGGTAAACAGTTCGACGACAGTCGAAGTTGCCTTTATGGCTAAGGTCGCCGATTCCTTCACGACTAAAGCCGTCGATCTAAATTCGACTAGGGCCGCCAACGCCGACGGTCAACAAAATAAGCACAAGACAGACAATGGAAAAGAAAATTTATATATTTACAAAGTCAATGACGGGTCATCCCCGCTTACACCCGGCCAAAGCCGATCAATACAAGAAATAAAAAAAATAATAATACAAGAAACGCCTAAAACGCCAAGCGGCGAACAAGACAAGAAAAAATGCACAGACATCTTTCTAATCGGTGCCGTCTGCGTCGTCGTCTGCACCAGCGTCAACCTCCGGCATCGCCGCGTCAAAACCACAATCGGCACGTGCCTCACGAGCCTTCTGATGCGCCCCCTCGAAAGCAGCCTCGGTCACGACTCCAGCCTCCCACAAACTCTTATATACATCACGTTGGGCCTCGGCAAAGACCCAAAGTTCCCGAGCCTGGCTGGAAGAAGCGGCCTGATCCCGTAGCCGCTGATTCTCTTCTTCTAAGGCTGTGATCCGGTCCGCCATGACCTGGGCGTCCTGCTCAAAGACACCAATCCGCTCCTCGAGACTCGCCTCTCTAAAGGCCGCAGCATCCCTTTCCAATGCCCGTTGGGATTCATGCACGCGGATAGCCTCCTCCAACGCCCCGGCCCTCGACGAAGCATCCCTCACTTGAAGCTTCAATGCCGCGACCTCACCCTCCAACGCGGTCACTTTCCCGCTCCATGCCGCAGCGGCCTCCGCCGCCTTGGCCTCGCCCCGGCGTTCGCACTCAGCTGCGACCCTCTTCACCGCTTCGAGCTCCTCATCCTTTCGGCGGAGCTGCTCCTCGAGAGCACTCGTTCGGCCAAGTATTTGTTGTATCTGAAGCTCCCGCCTCGCCAGCTCTTCGACCAAGGCCCGGCTACGAGGATCATTCCTCAAGCGCACTCGGTAGCGGCGATACTTCTCCAGCGCCCGCAAAAATATCCCCGAGCGGACCTTGGCTCGACGGATGCTTTCCACCTCCAACAGATAAGACTGCAAAGCAAAGACAACGATTAGAATAAAAGAATAAACCTAAGGCAAAGAAGAAGCGAACCGACGTAACAGTACATACCCTCAAGCCCATCACGGCTACTTCATTAATCAGCCCGATATCCGTAACGCCCCTCAGCGACGCATTCTCGGCCTCCTAGCATAGCGGCTCGAACTGCGGCACCAAGCTTTCCCCTTGGAGCAATAAGTTCAGTTCCGTGGGAACCTCGATAAAGCGAGATCGCCCCTCTGCGCGCACCGCTGAATTGGTGGAGCCTTCCTGGAACATACGGACGTCGTCGGGATCTAGGGCGGATTCAGACTCATCCTCACCCACATCAGCAGCCGCTGAGGAGCTACCTCCCGTCTCAGTGACTGGAACCACCAATTGAGTCGCCAAAGCGACGATATCATCACGGCCTAAGCCAACCGGGGCAACCCCCATTGATCGTCCGCCCTCGAGGGCAGGCGCCGCAGCCGCATTCCTCTCTGCGTCCGCCGGCGGGGAGTCCAAATTAATTACCACAGGAGGAGCCGGCGCGAACGCGACCCTACGCCTTATCAACGGCCTCTCCTCCTCCCCATCTGATGACGATTCCGCTCTAGGGCGCGCAACCCCCGATGGCCCCTCGTCCCGAAGTAGGGTCCGTGATGGAGAAGAAACCGCTGAAGACTCGACTGATGTCGCCCTCGGTGTTGAGCGCGACACCGAGCTGCAGTAAGCCGAGCAACTGCACCAGGCCGACGGAAGGCCAACTGAGGGGCCCTGACGCCGCGTGCCCTCCCTAATCACAAGAAAACAAGGTTGACGAATAGAGTCGAAACAAAGAAGAACCTAAGAAGAAATCAATGCCTACGGCCATGCCTCTCCCAGAAAGACGCCCATGTGCGTATCCCCCGCGTATGAGGGAGTACGGCCTCGACCCACTCACGTATCCAAGACAATGGGGCCGGCGGCGACCTGTCATCTACAAAAAAGACACGAGTTAACGCCCATGATCACAAATCACAAAGAGGGAAAGAAAAAGGAATTCAACCACTAAAGAACTTACGTGCATGGTTCCAAGCCTCTGGGAACCCAGTAGCATCCGCCACCAGGTGCTTGGTCCTGATGTAAAAGAAGTGCTCGAAAGGGCGAGGGTCGACCTCGTCATCCAACTTCATGACCAGGCCCCTCGACCCACGAGGGCACGCCTGAATCATGGTGCCGCGGACTCTCTGGGGAGCGTAGAGACTCAGCACATGCTGCAGCGTGACCTCCCTACGGGCCAATTCCGCGTACTTGATGAACATTGCCAACAATTTGTAGAGGGAAGGAGTGAGCTGACCCGGGCATACCCCGTAATAACGACAGAAATCCACCGCCAGCATTGGGAGCGGGATCTTGAACCCCAACCTGAAAGGATAGGCGTAAAAAACGCAGTATCCCCGGCGATTGGTGTGGACCCTCTCCTCGCTTCTAGCGAGAACAATGTCTGCATGGGTAGGAACGACCCCCTGTTCCCGTAATCGGGCCATCCCAATCTCCCCCATTAGCGGGGCTTCATCCACCGGTTCCTCTCCACCGTCGACGGTGAAATCAATCGCCAGACCTCCAGGCCGAGGAACCACCTCGTCAACCGACGGAATTTCGCCGGACTCCATCTGTTCTGCACCTCCCATCGCCGGAGATGACCCTCCGACTACCAGAAAATCTACCGTAAGAGCACCGTGGGAAGAACTGCCTGCCATTGTTGATCTACTGAAGACAAATGTTATCACAATCAAAGGAAAGAAAAGAGAAGATGAATTAGCGAAACGAAAAAGTTTCCTCAGAATCTCTCTCAGCTGAACAAAGAAGATATGAGAAATGAATGCCTCAACCCACCTTTATAGGCAACATAAATGGCTTTCGCGAAACCCATAGCCATCATTAACTGCACGACCAACCGTAAAACGGTTCGGTTCTGCCGAAGCAAGCGTCATTATGACGAGCTCCGCAAAGCGGCTTCTCAGCCATCCGCCAACATACCGCCGTCGGAATGATCGCTACGACCTGTGAACGCTGAAAGAATGTGCCGTACGCCGTTAAAATTTTGGACTTGACCAAATACTTACTCGGCACATACTCATTCCCTACGGCCATCCTCAATATATGAAAGGCTACGGCCGTCTCCAATATATAAAAGGTTACGGCCATCCTCAATATATGAAAGGCTACGACCGTCTCCAATATATAAAAGGCTACGGCCATCCTCAATATATGAAAGGCTACGACCGTCTCTAATATGTGAAAGGCTACGACCATCCTCAATATATGAAAGGCTACGGCCATCTCTAATGTATGAAAGGCTCTCTAATGTACGAAAGGCTACGTCCATCTCCAACGTGCAAACGGCTAAAGCCACCGCCGCCAATAAGTCGACCCCCTTATTCGAGTTGTTTTCAAATCACAATCGATGAAGTCCGCTCATCGAGCTCGGCCGAAAAACGACCTCAATAAGCGGAGGGACTAACTGTATGAGTCAGAATCCGACCCCACGATAATTAATGAGGCTAATCCCGTTGTAAGTTAATTCATGATTAATTAGTGGTACGACCACTCAGAATTAATTATATTCAACCCTCATCTGATTCGATCAACAAGGCCACGACCCATCCGCCACCATGAAGGCGAAGCCCCAACGTGGTCACGGCCACTTATTGCCAGCTCACGAAACTCACAGCTATAAATACCAAGAGAGGAAACCCCAGAAAGAGGGGGGCTGCTTCTTCACCACTAGTGAGAGGAGAGAGAATCGAGAAAATATACCCCTCTTATGGGAAAAGAAAACACCATTGTAAGGTTCTGAACCTTTCCATGGAGAGGCAGACCAAACAAATATTATCAATAAAGGTTTCTAATGCTTCTACCCTTATTCCTGAGTACTTATTTTCGTTTCTTTCATTGGGTCCAACGGATTATTACGATTTGCTATGATTATCCCGTGATTTATTTATATTGTTTTATACTCGTAAGTTTTGTAATAACTTTTGAGCAAACATTATTTTTTCCCCCCTGACTGTGTAAAATATATAGATTATATAGAACAGCTGGGCGGGGACTGCAAGCTAAAGCTGAAAAAGATTTTAAAAGATCAACATATCTTTGTGATGTTGCTGACCACAACTCAGGTGAATTAGTAGTCAGATAACAACTTCAATGCTGGACTTGGATCACGAAATCCTTATTTGGAACTGTACTTCCTTCAACTGAATCGATTGTGAACAATTTAGCATATGGTGGACAGGCAGCCGCTCAGACCTTCTATATTGGAAATTAGCTAATTATTCTTCTCTGTGTATCAACTTGACTTGCTATACTTGCTTGATGTTTGTCATTATGCATTACTCAGTTTGCCAACTTCTATTTGGCTTTTCCAGCACCTAGGCTATGTGTATCATTAGTTGGTCTCATAGTGTTAAGTGATCCAAAACTAAGTTGTATGGTTTAACTATTCCAACTGTAATACCATTTGATGATCTTATCAAGGAAAAATAAATTTATGATCAGGTATCTTAGAATGTAATGACAACTATTTTGCATCCTTTACTGAGCATAGGTAACATGTTTGCTATGATAACACCAATCCAAGGTAGTGGAAGAGGAGTTATGCCGGAGAGCAACTGAGGTAACTTTATTTTTCTTTTCTTTTTTCATCTTGCAACATCTTTACATGTCGTTTATAAAAAAAGATCTTTCTCTGCATGTATGATTAGGTATTCTAACTAATTGCAGTTTCTATTTTGTCTATTCTTCATTGTCTCTGTGTCTGTTTCTTTCTAATACATTTCTCTTGATCTTTTCTTCTGTCGAGACCATTTTTTTCTTCAATAAATTGAACCATACACTAAGCAGTCATTCAATGAGAGCTTAACTTTTAATTTTTTATAGCCACTGGCAAGCTATATCATGGCCATGACAGTTATTTCTCTTCGATTTTGACCTCTATTCATTTTTGCTGTTGCTGAATTTTGTAGAAACGTCGAGTTGTGTAGACTCGCTGAGCAGGTTGTCTTCTCGGATCCCTACAAAATGTCACAATATAATCAGTGCACATCTCCTCATGCAGATGCCGATGCAAAGAATAAGTTAATAATTCAGATCGACTTTGAAGGCACTTCTAAAAAATAAGAAACCCATTCAATTGAAGTAGCCTCAACTCAGGTAATATTTAATGCATTGTTGACTAATATGCACTGCTTTTGATCATGAGTGATGTTAGATATAATAGACGGGGATGAGATAAAGTTCCTGTCTTTAGGAAAGCTTGAAATCAACAAATATTGGGTTACATAAAAGTATTTTTTTTTAAGATTTCTGTAGAAAGGCCTCATTCATGATGGTGTGATGTCATACTTTTATATTTGGATTTTGAATTTTCCTGTATCAGGTTAATCATGTTTCGTAATGTTGGCTTGTTTTCATAAGAAAACAGAAAATCTGCAAGTCCCTTTTTACTAATTAGCAAAGCTTTTCCCTTTAGCAATAAACTTGGAAGATTTTGTATTGATTATTTAGTGTGCAATCTGATAAGTTGATAAACGTTGTTGAATGGGATAACATAGGCAACGTATACAGTGAGCGAAAATTCAATGTATGGTGATAGGTTATAAATATTTGTCCTTCATATTAATAGGGTTCAATTTAATCTCTATGTTTGTTCGTATTATCATTAAAATAATTGAGTTGCCTAATGAGAAAGCCTAAGACTTGAAATTGATATATGGCAAGTTACTACACCTTTTAATCTTTATTTTCCTGATGTAGGTTTGTACTGTGATTAGAATAGTGACATTTGCAAAACTCAAGTTCTCTTAACAATGGATCCTCATCAAACAAAAAAACGTCCTTGGATAACGACAGAAGCTTATGACAAGAATGCCAAACGACGTGAAGTGTACAACAATATGACCATGGCTGAAAAGAATGCGCTTCTGCTGCAACGACGTCTAAAAAAAAGAGAGACAACAACTAATCGTCTTCTCGCAAGTAAAACTTATGTCAACCCTGTTGAACCAGCATCTGTAATGCCAGGTAATTTTGCTGCCGGAGCCTCTTGTTCTCTGCCAAAAACAGGTTAGAACATTAAATTCACTATATGTCTTTTCCCACATATATATATGTATAGACACACAGACACATATATGAGTGCGCATGTGAAACAGTTATGCCCATCTGGTTCTCATGTTTGTTAAAAAAAATTTCTTGCAGCAACCAATGAATGTGAAGTTTGTACGCCACCCGCTGTGCTTCACAAGGAGAAAAATGTGTTGTACCCTTTTCATGTTTTTGAAAAAGGTAATCATGTAACCTTGATCACTGACAATTGTACATCTACTATGCTCAAATGTTTAATCCATAATCGTGTTGCACCAGGTTCTACATCAGGCACTTCAAATGAGTCAAGTGCTACATCCTTTGAGTCGATTTTGGTTGACGGTTAGTATGAACATAACATATCGTTTCTACTTTTTGGCTGTTTCATAATTTTTTCCACTCCTTAAGTCTGTTTGGCGTATGCAGGTCATGTAAAGAATAAGAAAAAATTGACTAATGTTGGTTATGGAAAAAAGAGAAATATGCCTAATAATATCCGATTACGCTCTGACTATGTTTCACTTAAAAAAGTGCCAAATTGTGAATTCTGCTCGGCCAAAAAATTTCAGTATGAATCACCTTCATTTTGTTGTGCTAACGGTACAGTTAAGTTGACTTATCATAAAATGCCACCTGCACTGAGAAATTTATATCTAGGATCTTCTGCAAAATCCAAGCACTTCCAGACGTATATTAGAACGTATAATAATATGTTTGCTTTTAGCTCGCTTGGTGTCAGTTAGGATAAAGATCTAGCCAAAAGAAATCATGGTATATATACATTCAGAGTTCAAGGTCAAATGTATCACTTTATAGATGATTTATATCCTGCCGAGAGAAGGCCTAAAAATTTGCAGCTGTACTTTTATGATAACGACAATGAGATTGCAAATAGAATGGCTTGCTCTGATAAAATAGATGAATTGATAGTGAGAGAATTGATAGACACACTGAAAGATAATCCATATTCTATATTTTTACGAACTTTATCTGAGATTTCGAACTTACAGAACTATCACATCGCACTTAAATGTAACTCTGGATTGGATCAACGAATATTTAACTTGCCCAGTACTACTGAGGTTGCAGCAATATGGGTTGATGAGAATGATGTTGGTGCTATTCATGTACCGCACATTCAAATTTATACTCATAGCAATAGAACGCAAAGAGTGAACTACTATTTTGGGTGTTATGATCCTTTACAGTATCCTTTACTATTTCCATATGGCCAAAGTGGGTGGCATTGTGGTATTAGAAAGTTTCATGGGGAAGAAAATATGCCTAAAAATTATGCTCTGTTTGGTTCGGAACAACTACCGAGTATAAAAAATTACACCTCTGTTGACGGATATCTTGATATGGAAGATCAAGTTATGCAAAAAGGGAAACGAAAGAGAGATACAGTTTCAGTTCGTGAATACTACAGTTACAAGCTCCAGATGAGAAGAGATGATGAAGATGAACTTTTACATACAGGTAGATTACTTCAACAATATTCGGTTGATGAATATATAAAATTGGAGACTCAAAGATTGGATTTTGCTTTCTTCAATCAAGATTTGTTCAGAATGGATATGTTAAATGGACTTCTTGGCATTTTAAGACTTGGTGAACGAGATGCTTCTAATGTTGGAAAACAAACATTTCTGCCAAATTCATTTATAGGAGCGCCTAGAGACATGCGTCAACGTTATATGGACACTATTGCATTAGTGCAGTATTTTGGAAAGCCTGATTTATTTATAACGATGACATGTAACCCAGCTTGGCCAGAAATTGAGGAACATTTAGCACTTAGCGATGAGGCACAAAATAGACCTGATTTGATTAGTCCCGTATTTAGGGCCAAAATAGAAGAGCTAAAGACGGATATTCTAAAACGAAATATCTTTGGAAAAGTTGTTGCTTTTATGTACACCGTTGAGTTTCAAAAACGAGGTTTACCTCATGCTCATTTTCTTATTATACTACAGAATGACTATAAATTGTTGACAATTGAAGCATACGATGAAATAATTAGAACAGAATTACCAGACGCTAATGTAGACTCAGATTTGCGTAAGCTTGTTCTCAGTGGCGGAGGCAGGATCTCCACGAAGGGGGTTCAAAATTTTTTTTTTGTAGCTAGTGGGAATTGAACCCATGACCTTATATAGATTTTGAAACACCTTGATCACTAAACTACACTTTTGGATTGTGTTAAGGGTGTTCAAAACTTAATATATAGAGGTAAAAAATAGATTTTGCCTTATATATACAGTGTAATTTTTCAGCGAAGGGTGTTCGGGTGAACACCCTTGCTCCACCCTAAATCCGCCCCTGCTTGTTCTTAAGCATATGATGCACGGTCCTTGTGGTAGTTTAGACCCAACAAATTCCTGTATGAGGAAAAAAACAGGTTCTTGCAAGTTCAAATATCCAAAAATGTTTGCTGATCAAACATCAAAAGGAAATGATTCTTATCCAATTTATAGAAGACAAAATACAGGTGAGGTTGTGAAAGTAAGAGGTCATGACTTAGATAACTCTTGGGTCGTCCCATGCAACCCATATTTACTCGGTAAATTCAATTGTCACATAAATGTTGAAGTTTGCTATGATATCAAAGTTGTGAAGTACCTTTATAAGTACATCTGTAAAGGACATGACAAAATTGCATTCTCTGTACAGAATAATGATGCGAATATAGAAATAGATGAGGTAAATGAATATCGGTCTGCTAGGTTTTCAATCATACAGCTCTAAATATTTACAATAACCAACAAAAAAACAATCAGGGAAAAGTTTTGTTAATGTAGCAGTCGTTTAAGTTTATCTTTTCGTTATGATTGACTGTTGTAACCTAATTAGGCTTTGGCTGTGCGCTAATCCATTTTGGCTTACTTTGTGGCTTTTCTTCTTATCATTTAGAAATACTAATAAAAGCAGGATAAATCTATTAATCATTATCACCATCTAATTATTACTTAAATTGAAAAAACATAGTGACAATGGAATATTGTATGGAAAAAACTTCAGTGATATAGTTAATCGAGACATTGTCTTCTGACGTTGAAGGGAAGATATTTGGAACAAAGTAACATCATATAGCATTCATTTAATACAAAGGAAATAGTAGAAGAAATCACAAGTTTTAGTTTCTTCATTACTTTCTTTTATTGCAGATTCGCATATATGGTATCTGGTAATAGGGCTTACAACAATGATCTTCTTTCTTCTCTGTACCTTAATTTTGAGACAGTGACATTACTCTTTCTATAGAGAATAATTTTATGAGTAATTTCAATGCACAATGTGTTGTATACTGACCAGGACTGCAACTTATTTTTGGCTTTGTAGAACTACTGATGCTTCTCTTACATCCGGTACCACCAAAAGAATTGCTCAATGGGCTTAGCACTGCACAGGGAACCGACTATTTTATCTTTGGATATTTGTACACGTTGGCTCCTATTAACAGATTCTATGTTTCTCCTACAACGGCTAATAGTTAATGTTGTGCATCGTTTTTTTTCTACAAGTTATGCTATTGTGCTAGAGGAGAGAAAGAGGCCTTTTACAAAGTGATACATTGCAATGCTTCAAAAGGATGCAGCTTTTGCAAGCGTAATGTTCTGATACAAGAAATGGGGAGAGCTCTATAAATGACAACAACAATGTGATTCCAAATTCACCTTGTCTAAATAAGAGTCAATCAGATATGCAGTTCCCAATAAAAGCATATTAGTGAAATATATTATTTTCAGTAACCTATAAATTATGGCTGAGTTATTATTCCATAATATTGCAGGCTTTAATGAAGAATGCCTCTCTTAGCTTGGTTGAGATGAATACTCCAGTTTCTCATTTCAATCAGAATCGGGCTACTTTGGAAGTACTTTTGAATTTTTAGTTTCAGTGTTGCAACAATTCAGTTGACGTAATAGTTTATTAATTTTTTTATTGTAATTCTAATTTCTACCACTTACACATATTTGTATCAGCTCACCTGCTGCAAAACCATATGTTTTTTTTGGGTAACATATGAATTACTTACACATATTTGTATCAGCTCACCTGCTGCAAAACCATATGTTTTTTTTGGGTAACATATGAATTAGAAACGGCAGGATTAAAGAAGTGAGATTTTTGTAGTAGCTATGTAGTTTTATTTTTTCTCTTTTGAGTAACATCTCACTAATAGCCCCGTGGTCCTCCATTTCTTTACACAAGCTCACTTTTGCTTACAAATTTACAATAATATAGTTCTGTTCACGTTGGGCCACCCCTCCACTAGTAAATAATATAGAAGCGGGAATGAGAGGAGATTTGCCCGGGCTACCCCTCTACTAGTAAATAATATAGAAGCGGGAATGAGAGGAGCTTCCGGTAAGAGTAAAATGACTAAACCAAGACATCTCAATCTATTCCTTTCATATGTCCTAATACTTTTTCGTAAATATAATTAATTTGAGGACTTTTAATATCTACAGAGGCTGATGACGTTACGGATACATGTGGAAGAACTAAATTCATGAAAAAACTACTACTCCTATTTACGGAACTTGTAGGCCCACTTCTGCCACCAAAGCTGATGATGTCATGGACTTTAAATATCCACAAAAGCTAAATGAGCCTGCGTATTAGGTGGATATATGTAGAATTTGAAGGGCCACTTCTGCCGCCGCATCACTTTTTATTCTTCACAGATCACCCCACAAATATTATTTATGTTGTTTTACTATAGACGGACAAGAACAGACAGAATTGTTTAGTTTGTTTCAATTGATTTAGAAAATTGTGGTCACACCTCAAACCAAATCAACCAGTTTGTATTGTTTTTCTTCTCAAAATCTAAAAGAACAACAACAAAAATTCATAATCTATCTACTTTTCCTCCTTATTTTAATAAACTGACTAAATCTAAATCATTTGACATTTCTATTTATTTATTTATTTGAATAGTTTTATGTCACATTTGGAGTATAACTTGTTTTTTGAAAACAGTTACACAAATTGAGTTCAAACTAAGAATTGTGGTGAGGGCCGAAAGGATTCAAGTTTTTGCCTTTCCTTATTGTATCATTTTATGCTATATAGTTCATAAAGTATCATAACTTAAAATATATAAAAAACAGTTGGAAAAATGCATAAGTACCTCCCTAACCTATATTCGGATTCCCAACTACACACTTTTTTTTTTTGCGGGAATCCTATTACCCCCCTAAACTTATTTTAAATGAAATTATTTGCACCCTTAACGCTGACGTGAAAGAGTGTGTGTATTTCACTCCCCCAAGGAGAGTGAGAAGCAAGAAAAAATAATTTTCAGATTGTTTTTTATTCTTTTTTACCATTTTTTCTTACTTTTTTTTCGTTTTTCCTTTTTCTTTGTCTTTCTTCTTTTACTTTCTTTTTTCGTTTCTTCTCTAATTCCGGCAGATATTCATTCACCGGCGACTTTGTCTGACCGTTTTTCTTCCATTTTTTCTTTTCACACACAAACTAAACTCTAAAAAAGATCTATTCATAAGCAAAGCAACATACACTTAGATTTGGGGGAAAAAATTCATCATCGGAAAACCTTCCCACGTCGGAAAAAAATGATGTTTTAAAATTTTAACTGGAAAAAGTTTTTTTTCAGCTTATATTCGTTTTTATTTCTTTTGCTCTTCCTCCCACACACAAATTACACTTTCAAGAAAAATTATATATATATATATATATATAACAAAACACACTTAGATCGGGATAAAAATCTGTTGCCAGAAAAAAAAAATTCGCCGGAAAAAATGGTGTTTGTGAAATTTCGACGACCACCATTTTATGCCGCCGGTGACCAAAACAAAAAGAAAGAGATTGAAATAACCAAAAAAAAAATGAGAATAATAAGAAATAAGAAAAAAGGATAAGAAAAAGAAGAAAGAATTAAAAAAGTACTAAAGTACATGTGGGGGCGCGTGTAGCTCACCACTTGCCAAGAGTTTGGTTGTCTAGTTTTAGGGTGGTATTTATTCCATTTAAAGAAGTATAGGGGAGTAATAGGATTCCCGCAAAGAAAAAGTGTGTAGTTGGGAATCCGGGTATAGGTCTGGGGGTACTTATGTATTTTTCCAAAACAGTTCGATGCACAAAGCATCCCGTGTTTAAGCAGGATTCAGGGAAAGCCTTTATTTCAAGGAGACGTGGTGTAGATAGTCTACCCTGATGTAAACATCCGTGGTTGATTTCGGGCTTGAAAAAATTACTTGTTTCTTGCACCAGGCTTGCATCTTTATATATATCAACATGAATTTTGCATTCTAGAATTTGTACTAAAAAGGATAAAAATCTTAAATGAGTATATGCTACCTAAAAAATATAACATTCGGTACGGTGTCACTTTAACTAAAAGGATGATAAATATTATGTGCTCGAAGTCTCTCTCTCACACACACATGTAGCCATTAATACACGAAAGAGTTTGTTCTGTTCTGTCCTAAAGTGCGGCGAATGCGTGAAACACCTGATCACCTCCCTTACCGACATCAACTTACGGTTACAATGACGAAAATAGCCTTGTCGATCGCCAACTTCTTTCAAGGAGTAAGCTAAATATTCCCAAAGAAGTATAAATGTACTTTCAGAATTGCTTTGAGCATCCTAGAAGATTATTTAAGAAGGATACCTAGAATCATTAACTAAAAATTGCATTTCAGGTGATAAATAAAGCTGGTAAATTTTAGATGTGCTAGCTTTTAATATAAATTTTACTCTTGATGCAATTTTAGAACATGATTGATGATGCCAAAGCCCCGTCTCCAGAGTCCTTTGGACATGGACTCTTGGCCTTGGTCAAGGTCAAATTTGTGGCTTAGTTTGAAAATGACCTAATATGAGACAAGACTGAACTTTAGGAAGATTGATAATGGTTATTAAATTTCAGACTTTTGCTTTTCTTTGTTATTCTAATGTAGGTTCTGCATTAAATACACACTGTGAGGGCAACATGTGTGACAAAAGGTTAGGCCCAACAATTTGTGTAGCGTTACTTTTAGGGAACTTACACAAATGTCCCAAATAAATCTCAACTTACCAACCTCTAGTCATTAGTCATAGACTTACCAAAACTAGCCAACAAAAATTGAAAAATCAAATAATAAGGTTCTTTCTCTCAAAGAATCACATGCAAAAATCACCTTCCATATTTTTAAGCGTGATTAGCAACATTAGATACAAGACGGAAAGGAAATTTCATGGACGGGGTAGCAAATAAAGTGATAAAACTCTATACAATATTCCAAAAATCTAAACGAAAAAGGAACTTTTTCAATGGGTATAGTTGAAATTCATTGAAAATATATAGATAAGTCAATATATAAAATTTGAGGAAGATTGGAGGTGATTTGGACTGGTTTTGTATCAAAATTCGTAATTAAATCGAGTTCAAAAAAGTCTTCTGCAACACATGTATCAAACATGTATCACGCATGTAATACATGGATATACATGTGATACACAATTGATACAAATATGATACATATGTGATACAGAAATGATACACAGTGCGATACACATATCATTTTTTTTCATGTTCAGCTTTTACTTCGAATTTTCAATACAAACCACCTCAAAACTTCACCAAATCATCCCAAAACTGAGATTCAAGCTCCTTAAGTTGTGCCCAATCTATTCTAATAACACCCACTCAAAAAAAAAGCAAAAATTTGATATTTTTTGCTACAAATAGCTAATTGGCTAATTTGGCTAATATTAGTAATATTTTATCAATTGGCCAATTTTTGTAATGAGCTACTTATAAATGGACATAGCTGGTAATTTCCCTTACTTTTAATTCAAAATATCTTTCATGATTTTTGCAATTTTGTTAAGAATATCAGTTAATAACATAAATGACTAAGTTGCGTAGCATCTTTGTACCATTTTGCCCAATTGCTTTTTATTTTCTTGTTTCAATGTTATCTGAATGTTCTTTATTGACATGTTGATGTCGATAATATGCAGGTTGTTGACGTAACATTTATTAAGAAAAAATCATGGTTTAGACCAAGTAAGTCAATATGTGCTTCTACTGCTACATATGGTGACGGTGAGTATCTTGCTTGCTCTCTTTCTGGTATTTCATTTTTTTGCTCAATATGAACTCAATTTTAATTTGTCGATAATCTATGTTGCTCGGACTTTTCAAAAATTTGGCCAGATACGTATCGGATCCTCCAAAAGTAGTGCATTTCAATTAAAATTGGGGGACTGTACGCGCTTGTCACCTCATGTACAGGGCATTTCAATTACCACAATACCAATCCTAAGGGGAGAGTCCCCCACACAAGGTTAGACAAGCCACTTACCTCGAACAAGTGCAAGTCAACCCGATACCACGCTTTTGCCATGAGTATCCGACTCCAGCCCAAATTTATTCAATTAAATTGCATATTGTAAATAATACTTCAAGTAGCTGATTCTACAATTAAATTTTAAGCTAATACGCGAAATTATGTGAAATGACCAAAACGCCCCTCGGGCCCACGTCTCGGAATCAGGTAAAATTTATATTTCCAGAAACCTCGCACTCTCACGAGTCTAACCATACAAAAAATGTCCAAATCCCACAACATTTTGACCCTCAAATCTGTGATTCTATCCGAGAGGTTTTTCTAAACTTTTCCAACAAAATTCACGGATTAAATGCCAAAACTAGTAATAGATTCGAGTAATCTAACCAAAATTAAGTTAAGAACACTTACCCGTTGTTCCCTCTGAAAATCTCTCGAAAAATCGCCTCACCCGAGCTCCAAATCGCCAAAATGGAAAATGGGACGAAGTCCCATTTTTAGAACTTGAAATAATCTGTCCAGAAATTTTCGCACCTGCGGTTACTGTTCACCACAGGTGCGGTTACTATTCACCGCAGGTGTGGTACTGTTCACCGCAGATGCGGTCACTGTTCACCGTAGGTGCGGTTACTATTCACCGCAGGTGCGGTTACTGTTCACCGCAGAAGCGAAAAATGCAGAAGCTGAAATTTCAGCAGCTTTCTTCAAGTCCAAATTGATCCGTTAACCTTCCGAAACACACCCGAGGCCCCCGGGACCTCAACCAAACATGCCAACCAATCCTAAAATATCATTCAAACTTGTACC